AAATAAATAAATAAATAAATCAAGGTACAAAGTGACTGAAGCTGTGAAACTGTATTTTTAGGCAGTGATGAATTGTCCTGGAGCCAAAATAATCTAACGTGCCATTAAACTAATTAAACTACCAAACTTACCTTCTGTAAGGTTTGTTAAAAAGTGTTGTGGTGTTTCAGGCCTACAAAGCTAAAAATTTGTCCCAGAAAAGGTAGCAGAACAAGATCTGCCAAAGAATAAGCTAAAGAAGCTCAAGTCATTTTGTACCATGACTGACATTTATTTAAATGAGTGCACACAAAGAAAACACAACCAACCTCAKTTATTTTGATAGACTGGATTGATCACTTCTGATTATTGTTTCAAAGCAGAAAGGACAAACGAGCTAATGAACAGCTAATCAAATAAAGCAGTACAGTGTTAGCTGTTTGGTCTATTGCTCTTTCTTTTATTTAYATTAAAATTAGGTCTAATTTAGCATTCTAAAAGTGAACTAGCTAATGACAAAATATGCTGCTGTCATTTGTCAAAAACAGTACCATGCAAATGCTTTCATGCTTTTAGACTGCATATATATATATGTTTGTTGTTGTTTTTTCTCTTGTTATTTAAAATGAGCTCAGCCCTGAATGAGCCTCAGACTGGTTCCCAGACACATTATCAGTTCAGCTGTAACGTTCAAGAGAAAATGATCCCGAGTCGCTGGACTTGAAGGTTGTTTGTCTGAGTGACAGCTGGGAGCGGTACAAGCCGTTACTTTGAGAGTCCAGTGGGTTGTCTGACACCTACAGTAAAAAAAAACAAAGTTTATTTTCAGTTATAAGATCTTTCATTTAATTTTCAAATATTATTGGAAATCTTTATTTTGATCATTTTTATTTCCTCCTTCTTAATCATCTGCTCCAGATTTACTACCTTTAGTAATCTGTCAGCTGATTTGGAGTCACTCCAAATCAAGATGGCTGCYACAGTTMATGARAACAGAAATTTCCACATTTTGTGCTAATGTTTGGCGCAGCTGTAGCTGCAGTTCATTCACAACACATATTTTGAGTTTGACATGTGGTGATGAGCTCAAACATGTTTGTCTGACCAAATGACTCCATCTTTCTCAACATAAATGATCCTAATTGAAAGCTCGGGCATGAAAGGTGGTGGGCAATATGCATTCCTTCAAGGAATGCTAGGCCTTCAATATATTATTTGTTTAAAAGAGAATAAAAAATAATTATATTGATATAGTTGTTTGATATTTGAAGAAAAGGTGTTTGTTTCTGCAAAGAGTGAACACTGTGAGGCAGTGGACCATCCATAAAGTTCAATTAGTAGTATTACAGAATAATTCTTCAACAATGGACAGTCAGCAACACACTCAGCTTCTTTTAAAGGGGCAATATCATGTAAAATCAACTTTTTGGAGTTTTATATCATGTTATAATGTTATACTCTCATAAAAAAACATGCCCAAAGCCTTGCTCTGACTCATTCATGCATGTTTGAGAAATCCTGCAGCGTTTTTAGGCAGCCATGCTGAGGAGCAAAACAAGAGGTGGGGACCAGAAACGACTTTTGGTACCAGAAATGCCC